TTGTAGTTTTTTGGCTGGGGCTGAGTCTGAACCCAGCACCTCTGGCATATGGGGCCAGCGCCCTACTCCTTTGCGCTATAGGCACTGCCCTATGTTTGCATTTTTTAAGTTATACAAGTAACACATGATTAATATCAAAAAATAGAAGTAAGAAGAGAGAAAAAAATTAAATTGGCTGAAAATCTCACCAATCCTGAATCAGCTTCTTGGTATAAATTGTTTTAAGCTTTTCTTTTTTAAAATAAAATACTTAAATGAATGGATAATTTTTTTAGTTTTATATTTTTTCGCTTATTGTGAGCATTTTTCCATTTCCATACATGGGTTTGTATCTTTTTTCTAATGTATTTAACCTCCCCTCTGTTACTGGACCTTTATATTGTTTTTAACCTTTTGTTCTTTCTTTTAAAATGGTACAGTGAAGTAAATCTCTTTTACTTACCTTTGTACACATAGACAGTTTTCCAAGAAATAAAATTGTCCAGTAAAGAATATGTATATTTTTAAGACTTTAGATGGAATTTGAGTCTTGAATGCAGCTTTGAAATTGAAATGTTTTCTTGCATGGTTGGTCAAGTGAGTAGGAGGAAATCAGTCTTTTTAGCTGTATTTGCATTTTTAGCTGTATTTAAAGATTATGTTTTATAATATAAACTATAGTTTCAGAGTTATAGAAAATGCTTAAGTACTCCTTGACACAGTTTCATAACTTTTAAAAATCTGCCTCTTCCTTGCATTTACTTTAAAGAACAAATTTCACATCACAGAGTATAGTAATCTATTAAAATAAAAGCTAATTCTGCAGAATACTTTGATGTATGCCATTGTTTTTCTTATGTTTGAATTCTGACCTCCCTCAAAAGTATACTTTTTTGTTGAAGTGGAATACTTTCATTTTGACCAGTTCTACATTATAATCGCATAAACATTGGTATCATTTAATTTTAAGTTAGATGTTGTGATTAGCTTTGGTGAACTAATTTATTGCTTTCTTTATTTAGCACTTATTTTAGAGGAGATTGCAATTGACTGTCATAATAAGGAAACTGAACAGAGGCTGCTTCAAGAAGCTCACGATTTGCACCTGTCTTCACTTCAGCTAGCTAAAAAAGCTTTTGGGGAATTTAACGTACAGACTGCAAAACACTATGGAAACCTGGGACGACTCTATCAGTCCATGAGAAAATTTAAGGTAGAAACATGGTTTACTATGTTTTTCTGTCCCTTAATAATCCTAAATAATAAAGTAAAATCTTAGGCCAGGCATAGTAGCGCACACCTGTAATCCCAACACTGCGGGAAGCTGAGGCAAGAGTATTGTTTGAACTCAGGAGTTGAAGACTAGCCTGAGCAAGAGCAAGATCTCCATCTCTACTAAAAAGAGAAGAAAAAAAATTAGCCAGCCAGGTGTTGTGACAGGCATCTGTAGTCCCAGCTACTCGAGAGTCTGTGTTTGAGGTTGTTGTGAGCTAGGCTGATGGGATGGCACTAGTCTAGCCTGGGCAAGAGAGTGAGACTGTCTAAAAATAAAAAAAGTAAGGCTCAGCGCCCATAGTCAGTGGTCAGGGTGTGGGCCACATACACCAGGGCTGGCGGGTTCAAACCCAGCCCGGGCCTGCTAAACAATAATGACATCTACAACCAAAAAATAGCCGGGTGTTATGGAGGGTCCCAGCTACTTGGGAGGCTGAGGCAAGAGAAACGCTTAAGCCCAAGAGTTTGAGGTTGCTGTGAGCTGTGACACCATGGCACTCTACCAAGGGCAATATACTGAGACTGTGTATCAAAAAAAAAAATAAAAACCTAAATAATAAATGTATCTTCAGTAATCTTAATAATGTACACATTCATTATATTTCTGCCTTATTCCATGAAGGAATTGAGAAAATAGCTAGAATAAAACAACGTAGTCAGAATATAAATAAAATTAGAAAATCAGGACCATGGAAAAATAGGAACCATGTCAAATCAAAAAAGGCTTATAATTTTTTTTTTAAATTGAGACAGTTT